GGCAGATTACTGAAATAGTATTGTGGTGCCAATTGCATAAATCTGTTTAAAACAAAAAATTATTATTATTATTTTTGGTGAGAGGTACCAAACATGAGTGGACGCTTCCCAGGCCTGGAGAATCTGCTTGTAGAATTTTGATTAGTGTGAACTTCTCAGTGGCTTGGTCTGCCTTTGTAGAATGAATACTTTCTGTGGTTTACATGGAAACAATCCAATTGCATTTCTAGGATAAGTTGGGTCTTCTAGGGTCATGCCACACAGCGGAAGTGACACCCCCACTCTCATCACCGGGGGGAACGGGTACTTCCCCCAAGGCCCATCACAATTTTGCGACAGGTCAGATCAGATGCTTGGGAGAACTCTGGGTGCGTAAGAGGGAGTATCTGCATCTCATACTAATACCATACCATATCCATTTGCTGAAGCTGGACACACCTGTAGTGACTCCTGGTTCCTGCCTAGAACATCACACTGCCCAAGTGGTAGTGGTACCTCCACAGTGGGTCCGGCATCTGCAGCAGCCTCTGAGGCTTGTCTCCATTCTCACTGCTGTCCCTATAGCCCATTCACTTAGCAGCCAGAGGGATCTTTAAGATATATGGAGAAGAGGTTACCCTTGCTTAAAACGGAGTCTCCAATTGCTTTGTACTGCACTTAGGATCAACTCCAAACTCTTTATGTGGCCCATACCCTACACCTCTGCTACCTACCTGTCTTCAACCTGGCCTCCACCCCTTCTCTTCCCCACTTGCTCCAGTCTCAGTGGCCTGTCTGTTTTGAGAGGTTGCTACGCTCAAGGTCTGCACCTGCTGGCCCTGTTCCTCTTAAGGTGCATTGTGCTTTGCTGTACATTTCTATACTGTGTTCTCTCTTTATGCTGTAATCTCAGAGGCGTGAGTATTTCTTAGTCATCTACAGAGACCTGCCTTTAGTAGGTACTCAATTTAGATTAGTAGCAGTATAACTTATATTGAAAATGTTAAGAAAAACCAAATTTGTCATTTGCTCTTCATGTATGAATTCAAAGAAACCCCCTTTTTCTCCATTAAACTTACAGTTCAGGAGAGATTTCTGAGGCGATCCTGATGTAGTTGTTGTCAGATATGCTGAATTTATGGAAGAGAACCCACTCTGGCATCTTCTTGGTGACAGAGTAACAAGAAAGGGGATGCAGCTGTGCAACTTGCTTGTGCGTCAGCATTAAGTAATTACCTGACCCATCAACGTCCCGAGCAATCTAAAAGGCAGCGTTTTACAGGAAAAAGGATTTTGTATTAATATGGAGATCGATACACAAAAATATTTTGTTTTAAAAATTCCAAAATACTTCACACAGAATAGTTAAAACTACAGATTTGCCGCCCATGTTTTCTAGTTTCAGATATAGAAAATAAGACATAAACATGTTTTGCTCAAAACTTGGAGCCAGTGATGATAATAAGGATGTTAACTAATTTTATCAATTTCAGGGCAGCATGCCAAAATAGTGCAGCTACAAAGGTGAATGTTTTGGTCAAGAAATAAAGCTAGCACGTTCCCTGTCGCATTATGGACCACGCTCGCAAGTGTCCAGTGCTTTACACTTGACGTTTTAGCTCCTTTAATCCTCAGGATAACCCTGTGATGCAGGTAACCGTACTTCTTCCATACAGATGAGGAAATCCATGCTAAAATGTCCTTTTTCTCCATTAAGAGTGCTTTAGAGTTTAGGTGGTGCATATACTAATTCTGTAACTTGCTTTAGTTTAGAGGCGCTAGGTTAGTCAACCTCCACGCCGGGAAAGAAACAAATGGGCTGTCGCCTTCCCTTCTTGTTGGGCATTACGTCACCAGGTACATGGGAGCAAACAGGTGAGATGAGGGACTATATGTTCAGCCAAAGAGCGCTGTAACAGTTCCTCCGCGATGGGAAAGGTCTTCCTGACAGAACATTCTAGTTGAGTCCTCCGTTCCCCTGAGGGGAAGTATATTTAAGTACTAAATCTTTAGTAACATATAAGGGTTTTTAGTTTTATTTTAAAGTTAACATCAATACAGTTATCATCCTAAGTGGGAGGTTTCTGACAGGATGTCCTCAATATGTGTAATTTTGTAAAGAGCACCCTACAGGTGGCCTTATCCGTTCTTACCTGCATAAAATAACCAGACAGAAGAGCTTTCCTTATGTTCAGAGTGTTTTCCTTTGAGCCAAAAGCAGGTTCTGTGTAAGGAAGCTCGATTCGCTTGATGATTTCTAAGAGTTCGGCTCGGATAACATCTGCCATCCTGAGCGCAGAGCAGTTGAGGAAGTAATCGTGACACCACTTTTCAACACAGTCTAGGAAGGAACGAACAAAAAGCTATTTAGAAATGACTTGTCATAACTGAGAGAGCCCAGTTGGGAAGGCGCTCTGCCTCTGCGTCCCTCTGTGTCCTCTCCTAACAAGGTTGTCACGAGTGAGTGCGAGGGAGGCAGCAAGGACGGGGACCTCGGTGGCCGCGGGAGTGGCTGTCCCTGGCACCGCTGGGAAGGGAGAGGGTGCCGGCTGGCAGGACCTGCAGTGGCTGTGGGGGACTCCACGAGCCCACCAACTGTAAAGTGCAGGTCCCCAGCGCTGACCAATACTATATATCACCCTCATCTGGCTCATGAGGGGCAGAAGAGACTGTCTCAAGAGCAACATTTTGTCCAGCGTGCGTATGGCGAGGATGTACGTGCCCACGACATTCAATCAAACCGGGAGGGAAAAAGCTTACTGTACAGATACCTCTGATCCATGAAAATCTCTCACGTACTTTACTTAATTATAAGAAAAGGATTACTACTAGGCTGATTTGGGAATTAATGATGTCACAGTTAAGCTCGCCTACCCTAGCTGCAAATTTTGTATCGAAATTCAGTCCCCTGGATCAGGGTGCAGTTACTCTTTCTTGCCATCTGTGATTAGCTGGATCCAGAGTTTTGCCTTGGCGGGGGAGCACACGTGGCCTCGGCAGAGCGGGCTGCAGACCTCCGTTGGTCCTTCCCGTCCACTCAGGCCCGTCTGGAGCCACAGGAGTGCTTGCACTTGGTCCAGCGACGACCGCCACCGGCTTGCCCTCCAAAGATGCCAAGGCCCTCATGTACTTTCTGGCTCCACTGACAACTTTTTCTGCTCCGCTTTGAAAAACTAACTCCCTGCTCTGCCACTCTGACTGCTGTCATACTTTTCACTTTAAACATTTTTCACACCCATCTGCTGGAGCAAAGGAGGTAAAAGCAGCATCATGGAGAACAAAGGTGAGAATAATCCTCCTGGTAGGAAGGGAGCTCCCCTCTGGCTGTGTCCGCCTCACTGCTTTGCCCCGTCTGCCCCTAGAGACCCCCTTCCTGTCTTTAAGGCCCAGCACAGGAGTTTCACGTGGAGGAGTTTTCCGTCCCCTCACCACTGGGAACCGTGGTTTAGACGTACCCAGGACTTCTGCCGCAGCTTTGCACCAGGCCATTCTTCTCCCCTGGACGCCCTCCCCACCCCTCTCCCCTCCTCCGCCAGGGTCCAGCCTCCCTCAGCTCATCAGCCCATTCATTACTATTACCTGGAGCTGGGGTTTGGTGGTGTTTTGTTTTGAACGCTCCATATTCTCTCTCCAGCCAGTAGTGAGCATGCCATGTTATGAAAGGCACAAAGCACAGCTCTGGCCGGTGGGCACCTAGAGATGGCAGTTCCTTTCCTTCCTCCCTGGACCCGAGAGGACAGGAGCCGTGCTGTGCAAGTCTGTGTCCCCTGTCCCTGCGTCCCCAGTGAGTTCGCTCTGAAGGCTGCCGGGCTGGGGGCCGGTCGGTCCGTGGATGCAGGCCCGCCCTCTGTGGGCGCAGGAGGCGTGTCTCTACTGCTCACCTGCGGGTGCCTGAGGGCCTCAAGCGCCATCCCACTCAAATGACCAAGGGGGCTGGAGACAAAGGGTGTTGGACGAATAACAACCCAGCTTCGTCTGGGGAAGGGAAGGTGGAATTGGGAGGTAATTTGTGAGAAGGCCAAGCGTTCACTTACGTTCGCTGGTGGAATTCAGAGCCATGTCCTGGTAGGCCTTGTAAATGTTGATGAGGGTGAAGTGATCTCCTTCAGGATGTAAGAACGTCTTCCAACAAGACAAGGCGGCCTCCTCTGCTCCCCGGGGCAGATGCGAAAAGCAATTAGGAGCTTTAAGATGCAAAAGGACAGAAGGTCAGCAATAATGAGATGTGCCCTTTAGCACGACAGGCTGTGGGGGGTGTGGGGGGGGAACGGATGGATGGGGGCTTGCTGCTGTTTGTAGCCCTGCTCCTGTCCTACTCTGTGAATAACATGCTATCCTGTTTACACAGAAATCAGAGAACTGTAGGGTGAGCCGTCATCTTGTGCTTCTCCTTACTCCTGTGTGTTAGCTTTTCTCAGGTCTGCTCAGCACAGCGGACACCCTGCTTGTAAATATTACCGCCCCCGGTCCAGGGACAGGATTAGAACTCAGGTCCTAATGCAGCATAGCCTTTGGTTTGTCCTGCCAGTAAAAGAATCAATTAAAACCTATAAACCAAGATGAATGAGGTGGTAGGAAATAAAACACACGCACACGTGACACGCTTTTCTTGATCTGTGCCGATCACTTCAGCAAAAGCGAACTCGGTATGCTTTCACCTGTCTGCTTTAAAAAATTCACTGGGTTTTTATTTAGATTTTTTCATATTAAGGCAATTCTTATAACTTCCTACATTTTCAAACTACTAAAATATTTCATTATCATTTCAAATGGATCTCATTTAAATCTATACCTGCTGCAGATACACGGTACAAAAGAGCCGTGGAAGGAATACCTGTTACCATGGCAGCGACTGTTAGCATTTCATCTACACAGTCAAATTCACAGGATGCTAAGATAGACTTGGCGAGCTGTGGGTCAAGAGGAAACTCTGACATGATGATTCCAAATTCAGAGAGGTTTCCATCATTGTCCAGTGCTGCCAGATAATCTAAGTCTTCCAAAGCCTGCATCAAGCTTTCCGGTGCTATAGGGAAGACAAAATTAATAATTACAAAGTGTCATACAACCAAGATGGAGTAACAGGTACTGGATTTTCCCTCCCACACAAAACAACCAAACAATGAACAAAATATATGAAACAAGAGTTCGCAAGACAGAGATCATCAGGCAACGAAGAACAGTGATTCCTGAGGGGGGGCACCTCAAGAGGTAAGCCTGAGGGCTGCCCAGCGTACTGCCTTGAGAGCGTTTCCAGGCTGCGGTGCTGGGAGGGGACCCAAGGGGAGCTGCCAGACTCCCCGAATTATGCAGAGGGTGCTGAGGGTCCGGGGAGACTAAGGTGGCCAAAGCCTGCAGGTCGGACCTCCTGAGAGGAGAGAGCTCTAGAGCGAGGACTCAGAGGATGTACGAGAGCCCCTCAGTCAGTCAGCAGGGCCCATTCACTCCACTCCAGGCCAGAGAAGGAACCATCCAGAAGAGCAGAGGGTCAGCGCCCGGTGCTCACACGGGATCCAGATACGGCCGTTCCCACCAGCCAGGCTGCAAAGCCTCATGATTCGTGGGACTCTGGTGGGGGGGGGGGCGGAAACACAGAATAACTACACCCCACATGTACACTGTTCCAGTGCCACCTAACTAATCCTAAAGTCAAGACCTGAAAGGATCACTCTGCCACCCAGGACAAAGCTCCAGAATATTTACAGGAATACAAAATACCCAGTATCCAACCCAGTAAAATGGACAATGTCTAGCATCCAACAAATATTATGAGGCATGAGAAGCAGGAAAATATAATCCCATAATAAAGAGAAAAATGAACCAATTGAAACGGACCCAGATGACAGAAATGGTAGACAAGGATGCTGGAAGAGCTATCTGCCAGTACAAGTAAGGACCAAAGGCTAATTTTCTCCATCCCTTTATTTCCCTTATAAGTTTATATGACATCAATAATGGTGTAGTTTTATTATATATGCTTAATAGCCACCTACAAAGATAAATCCATTTATTCAAAGTGAGGTATTCTCCTTGTCCTTGCAAAATAAAGTCACATTAAAATGAATACATGTGTTTTTCACCAGGCCTCACAAAGAAGCAAATCACACAGCATGAAGCTGCTGGATTGTTCTACCCCAGAAACGGAAGGATTTATGAGCTATTCAACGGCTTTCACTTGTCTCACTTCCAACATGTTCCTGGCAGGCGGGAGACAGAGCCTGTGGGGACCTGGGAAGCAGTTTAACCTCCTTGTAGCTGGGAGTTCAAGGTAATGAACAGTACAAATTTACTTATTTGCTGCCCAAACTTTGACCACTAAGCTATTTCTCAAAATTTCAAGCAAACTGTGTAACTCAAAAGCCAGTCCCAAATTCAGATTTGATAAAGTCCCCCCATTCCCATCAAGAGACCTGGGAACACTGGGAGAGACCCCGCTGCGGGCTGGGGAAGGCCCCCTGGTGCTGCACGCAGCTCCTCGCATCCCCAGGCCTCTTGCTGGAGGAGAGAGCGTGGAACGGGCCTGGCCTCCACCTCTGACATGTGATTTGCCGGTGAAAGATCAGTTACTGTGAAAGCAAGTAGTGCTGGGCTGAGGGGGGGCTGTGAGCAAGCCTGCAGAGAACCCAGGCATCTGCTAGAGGACTCGGGTGTGGCTTTCACCCCACCAAGGAGAAAAGAAGCTGAACGTCCCTGTTTTTGCTTTCTGTCGTCAAGATTTAAAACTGAGAAGAGGACAGCCTCGGGATTCCGTTCTTGGATTCTGACCCCTTGGCCTCTCCAGGGCACTAGCCAGGAGCACTGGTGGACTCCTTGTTCATTTGGAGACCCTGGGGCAAGGATGAGACCTTGAGAAATCACAGTCCCGGGAAGTAAACAGATGGGCTATTTAGAAAAAGAGTCCGAGCCATCAGTGAGCCATGAAATCAAAAGTAACAGAGATGGCCTCATCCACCAGAGGGCAGACAGCAGAAGCAAGAACTACAATCCTGCAGCCTGTGGAACAAAAACCACATTTACAGAAAGATAGACAAGATGAAAAGGCAGAGGGCTACGTACCAGATGAAGGAACGAGATAAAAACCCAGAAAAAAAAAACTAAATGAAGTGGAGATAGGCAACCTTACAGAAAAAGAATTCAGAATAATGATAGTGAAGATGATCTAGGACCTCAGAAAAAGAATGGAGGCAAAGATTGAGAAGATGCAAGAAATGTTTAACAAAGACCTAGAAGAATTAAAGAACAAACAAACAGAGATGAACAATACAATAACGGAAATGAAAAATACACTTGAAGGAATCAATAGCAGAATAACTGAGGCAGAAGAACGGATAAGTGACCTGGAAGACAGAATGGGGGAATTCACTGCTGCGGAACAGAATAAAGAAAAAGGAATGAAAAGAAATGAAGACAGCCTAAGAGACCTCTGGGACAACATTAAACACAACAACATTCGCATTATAGGGGTACCAGAAGGAGAAGAGAGAGAGAAAGGACCAGAGAAAATATATGAAGAGATTATAGTCAAAAACTTCCCTAACATGGGAAAGGAAATAGCCACCCAAGTCCAGGAAGCGCAGCGAGTCCCATACAGGATAAACCTAAGGAGAAACACGCTGAGACACATAGTAATCAAATTGGCAAAAATTAAAGACAAAGAAAAATTATTGAAAGCAGCAGGGAAAAACAACGAATAACATACAAGGGAACTCCCATAAGGTTAACAGCTGATTTCTCAGCAGAAACTCTAAAAGCTAGAAGGGAGTGGCATGATATACTTAAAGTGATGAAAGGGAAGAACTTACAACCAAGATTACTCTTCCCAGCAAGGATCTCATTCAGATTCGATGGAGAAATCAAAAGCTTTACAAACAAGCAAAAGTTAAGAGAATTCAGCATCACCAAACCAGCTTTTACAACAAATCCTAAAGGAACTTCTCTAGGCAGAAAAAGCCTTACACCTAAAGCAATTAGAGAAAGAAGAACAAAAAACTCCCAAAGTTAGCGGAAGGAAAGAAATCAAAAAGATCACAGCAGAAATAAATGAAATAGAAACAAAGAAAACAGTAGCAAAGATCAATAAAACGAAAAGCTGGTTCTTTGAGAAGATAAACAAAATTGATAAACCATTACCAAGACTCATCAAGAAAAAGAGGGAGAGGACTCAAATCAATAAAATTAGAAATGAAAAAGGAGACGTTACAACAGACACCACAGAAATACAAAGCATCCTAAGAGACTACTACAAGCAACTCTATGCCAATAAAATGGACAACCTGGAAGAAATGGACAAATTCTTAGAAAGGTATAACCTTCCAAGACTGAACCAGGAAGAAATGGAAAATATGAACAGACCAATCACAAGTAATGAAATTGAAACTGTGATTAAAATTCTTCCAACAAACAGAAGTCCAGGACCAGATGGCTTCACAGTGAATTCTATCAAACATTTAAAGAAGAGCTAACACCCATCCTTCTCAAACTCTTCCAAAAAATTGCAGAGGAAGGAACACTCCCAAACTCATTCTATGAGGCCACCATCACCCTGATACCAAAACCAGACAAAGATCCTACAAAAAAAGAAAATTACAGACCAATATCACTCATGAATATAGATGCAAAAATCCTCAACAAAATACTAGCAAACAGAATCCAACAACACGTTAGAAGGATCATACACCATGATCAAGTGGGATTTATCCCAGGGATGCAAGGATTCTTCAATATATGCAAATCAATCAATGTGATACACCATATTAACAAACTGAAGAATAAAAACCATATGATCATCTCAAGAGATGCAGAAAAAGCTTCTGACAGAATTCAACACCCATTTATGATAAAAACTCTCCAGAAGTGGGCATAGAGGGAACCTACCTCAACATAATAAAGGCCATATACGACAAACCCACAGCAAACGTCATTCTCAATGGTGAAAAACTGAAAGCATTTCCTCTAAGATCAGGAACAAGACAAGGATGTCCACTCTCACCACTATTATTCAACATAGTTTTGGAAGTCCTAGCCAGGGCAATCAGACAAGAAAAATAACAGGAATACAAATTGGAAAAGAAGAAGTAAAACTGTCCCTGTTTGCAGATGACATGATACTACACATAGAGAATCCTAAAAATGCCACCAGAAAACTATTAGAGCTAATCAATGAGTTTGGTAAAGTTGCAGGATACAAAATTAATGCACAGAAATCTCTTGCATTCCTATACACTAATGATGAAAAATCTGAAAGAGAAATTAAGGAAACACTACCAGTTACCATTGCAACAAAAAGAATAAAATACCTAGGAATAAATCTACCTAGGGAGACAAAAGACCTGTATGCAGAAAACTATAAGACACTGATGAAAGAAATTAAAGATGATACCAACAGATGGAGGAGATATACCATGTTCTTGGATTGGAAGAATCAATATTGTGAAAATGACTCTACTACCCAAAGCAATCTACAGATTCAATGCAATCCCTATCAAATTACCAATGGCACTTTTTACAGAACTAGAACAAAAAAACCTTAAAATTTGTATGGAGACACAAAAGACCCCGAATAGCCAAAGCAGTCTTGAGGGAAAAAAACAGAGCAGGAGGAATCAGACTCCCTGACTTCAGACTATACTACAAAGCTACAGTAATCAAGAAATATGGTACTGGCACAAAAACAGAAACCGATCAATGGAACAAGATAGAAAGCCCAGACATAAACTTACACACCTATGGTCAACTAATCTATGACAAAGGAGGCAAGGATATACAATGGAGAAAAGACAGTCTCTTCAATAAGTGGTGCTGGGAAAACTGGACAGCTACATGTAAAAGAATGAAATTAGAACACTCCCTAACACCATACACAAAAGTAAACTCAAAATGGATTCAAGACCTAAATTTAAGACCAGACACTATAAAACTCTTAGAGGAAAACATAGGAAGAACACTCTTTGACATAACTCACAGCAAGATCTTTTTTGATCCACCTCCTGGAGTAATGGAAATAAAAACAAAAATAAACAAATGGGACCTAATGAAACTTAAAAGCTTTTGCACAGCAAAGGAAACCATAAACAAGATGAAAAGACAACACTCAGAATGGGAGAAAATATTTGCAAACAAATCAACGGACTAAGGATTAATCTCCAAAATATATAAACAGCTCATGCAGCTCAATATTAAAGAAACGAACAACCCAATCCAAAAATGGGCAGAAGACCTATATAGACCTTTCTCCAAAGAAGACATACAGATGGCCTAGAAGCACATGAGAAGCTGCTCAACATCACTAATTATTAGAGAAATGCAAATCAAAACTACCATGAGGTATCACCTCACACCAGTTAGAATGGGCATCATCAGAAAATCTACAAACAACAAATGCTGGAGAGGGTGTGGAGGAAAGGGAACCCTCTTGCACTGTTGGTGGGAATGTAAATTGATACAGCCACTATGGAGAACAGTATGGAGGTTCCTTAAAAAGCTAAAAACAGAATTACCATATGACCCAGCAATCCCACTACTGGGCATATACCCAGAGAAAAGCATAATTCAAAAAGACACATGCACCCCAATGTTCACTGCAGCACTATTTACCATAGCCAGGTCATGGAAGCAACCTAAATGCCCATCGACAGACGAATGGATAAAGAAGATGTGGTACATATATACAATGGAATATCACTCAGCCATAAAAAGGAACTAACTGGGCCGCTTGTTGAGACGTGGATGGATCTAGAGACTGTCATACAGAGTGAAGTAAGTCAGAAAGAGAAAAATAAATAGTATATTAACGCATGTATGTGGAACCTAGGAAAATGGTACAGATGAACCGGTTTGCAGGGCAGAAGTTGAGACACAGATGTAAAGAACAAACGTATGGACACCAAGGGGGGAAAGCCGCGGGGGGGTGGGGTGATGGTGTGCTGAACTGGGCAATTGGGATTGACATGTATACACTGATGTGTATAAAATTGATGACTAATAAGAACCTGCAGTATAAAAAGATAAAATTTTAAAAAAAATTAAGGATTTCTGTTCAACAAACAGCACAATAGAAAAACTTAACTGAGCATAAGATTGGGGGGGGAAAAACAAAGTAACAGCTGACATGCCAGAGAAGGTGCAAGAAGCAGCAGCAGAAATAAGCATCTCAGATTAAACAGAGCAGGGGGGCACTGGGAGCACAAAGTTAATTCCTGAAAGTTGTGTGGAAACCAGTTTCCATAAATCAGCAAAGCTGCTGCATTGTAAGTTACAGGATCTCTGGCAACTGTCCCTGTAAGCCCATCTGGCTTAACAGCCAGCCTCTGTCCCCAAAGGGCACCTACTTCTCATTTTTATGTCCTGGAGTTGAGTTGGCTGCACAGAGAGTTACTAACGGACATAACTTCATGATTCGGCTCTCGGTCCGAACACCAAATAAAGAGAGGAAGTTCTTGGGGTTTTATTATATTAGAAAGAACAAGTTAATGAATGCAGATTATACAGGTGAAGGAATAATAATAAATAACTGAATAGGATTTGCTAATATTACTTTCTACATTTTAAGACATCTCCCCAGTACGGCCCATAAAATTGTCTTAGATAAAAGCAGAAGGGTTTAGATGAGGGTTCTTTATGGCAGTGCTATTTAAGTGTAATCCATGGGAAATAATGCTAACAAATGGGATATAAATGTTTTAGTGTGAGGCCTCTTCTTTACAGCAGTGCAAAATCACACTGCTTTATTCCAAAAGCAATTTCAATATGAACAAATCATCATTTTTATTAAGTTCTATTGCCAATGGCAGCTGTACTCCCTGTAGGATAGCTCACTACAAGGTCACACACCTCCCCCAGTGCCATCACTCGTAGTAACTTGCAGGGCTATTATCACAATTTCGTTATGGTGCCCTTTTCCATGGAACCCCAAATGCCAGGCTCCAATACTGAATCTGCGTTTTCCTGCCACAGTATCAGCAGAAAGGCTGCTCACAAACAAAGAGGGCATTAATCCGGAACAAGGGTTAAGTCCACCATTCGGAGGGAGGCACTGACCCAGTGCTGATTCTAAGCAAGAGTGCAGGTCAGATGAGGAGTCCAAGGCTCTGCTGTGTCATTTCCAGAATCAACGGCCCCACACGGCATCTTTCCTATGGCCTTGAAAAGTCTACCAAAATTTTAGATGTCACATGGCAGGAATCACAGGTTGTTCCCCTCCCCGTCACGGGGACGTTTACTCAGGCACTCAGCAGGAGAGAGAAGAGCCAAGAGACAGAGACGAGAAGCTGAGTACCAGTGCTGTTCGAGCCTCTGTCCTTAGATGTCCCTGAGGCACTGCCACATTCTCGTCTTGGATTTCATAAGACACCCCAAGTTCCTTATCACAACGCACTTTGGCTTATGCCAGTTTGAGTGGCATTACTGGCACTGGCACCCAGAATTCTTCTATACATCAGAAATTCCGTCACAAAGGGAGAGTGTATCAAAGTGACACTGGGACTTAGAAAAGGCAGGGACGAAGCTGGCCCGGGGAAGGAGGATAGCTGTGCTCACACAAGGCTTGCCGTGTGCCTCGTACACATGTGAATTACACACACGTCACATATGCAGATGGACATGGAGAAAGAGAGTGACAGCTGGACAGGGCGGGAGCAGATGAAGTTTCTGGCCCGGTGGGTTTTAGGACTGGAGCTTGGGCACTGTGTGCACTGAAGTAAAGAGCCCACGGAGGGGAGAAACGGAAGAATCGAGATGGTGCTGGTTGGACGGTGTAGATTCTCAGTAGTCTTGGGACTTTTAGGGAATAGGATTAAGAGTTTGGCTCTGAAGAGGAGAGAAAGGAAAGGCCTCTGTTTCACTTAATTTCACAAGGACCTGCTCACAAAAGCTGGCACGTGCCCACCTCCTACCCTACACGGTACACAGAGCACTTCTGCATAAATAATCTCATTTGAACCTCTTAATAACCCCCATAATACAAGAGGGCAGACCCTCTATCCTCCTGCTACGCGAGTCCTGAGGAGGGCGGCAGGTCTGCTTCATCTGCGTGTTTCATTTACAAGAGGAGTTATGTGCAGCAGCTGCAAGCACCATCTTTTTTTTTTCTTTCAAAACGATGAGCCAGAGTTAATCCACAGTTACATTTCCCCAAGCACAGCAGAAAACAGTTATGTGCGTACTGTCAGGGGACAAAAATAAATTGTCACCCTCACCCTTTTGTCCCCCGTTATCAGCTCTAAGCCCCGTGAAGTGAGCAGCAGAGGGTGACCACTGAGAGACACGGGAACTCCTCTGCACGGCTGTGGTCTGCCGTTTGCTTTTGAAAATCTTCGACATTACAGGGCCTGCTCTTCTCTCTTCACGCTAGTCCACCCAACAGCGACTATCATGACAAGAAGGTGCCCAGGCGATCAACACGTGGTGACTCTTGGGCTTAAGAGGCGAGCAGTTTTCAAAACTGAAACCTGTTTCTTCAGGGGGTGGCCTCGAGTGGTGACTGGCCGGCCGACGACAGAAGCCCTGGGGTCAGCGGTGAAAGACGGGAGAAATGGATGCAAGTGACACACCCTCACCTTCTAGACTCCTTTTTTCTCAGGGGCCAGAGTGAAAGCCAGGAGCAGAGTGGCTTCACTACTTGAGAGTTAAGGGATCACAGCTAAAGGAATCCTGCAGCCCGTGTTTCCCAGCCTTTCTGGGCCGCATCACCACCCCCCCACCCCGGGGCCCCGGCCCTCACCGCCCCCTCCGGCCCCCCACCCCCAGGCCCCTGCCCACACCCTTTCTAACTTGCCACAGTCCTGTCACTCTGGCCATTGCTATCAAAGGAAAATGCACTGAGCCTGAGTTTGCTACAGATACTTTACCACCTTACACCACATCCTAGGACTGTTTCTTTCCCCCAAGCCACTCCCTCAAGGTATAATCATCACTAGCATAGTCATCCTTGCAGCTCGTTAGGAAGGGGCCAGGCCTTTTCTGGGACCTTCTCTCGGGTGGAGAAGCTCTATTGAAGCCGAGCTGGCTAGCATCCTCAGAGGCGGGCGTCCGGCTGGGACTACTTGGCCGTTCTCCAGGTGATGTGCTCATCTCCCCAGGAACCTCAATGCCAAGGCCTTCTTGACATGCATTCGATTTAGGCCTCTCTTTCCCGCATGCCTCTGAGCTCCTGCTGGAGAACAGCAACCCTTTTCCTGCAAGAACACACAGCTCCAAGGGAGGCGGTGGCTCCAGAGGAAGGAGATCAGTCTTAGACGAGATAGGAGCTCACCTGGACCCTTTCCTCCTAGAGATTCCACTGCTCCTTGAGGGAAGAGTCTGTTGAAAACGTTCGATTCCAAAGAGTTTCCCAAAGTAACTGATTTTCCAAAGTGTTTACTGGGAGAGTTTCAATAGAAAACTCCCTGCGGTTCTAGGGAAGGACGGGGCGCTGCTGTGGAGCATGGGCCCCTGTCGTGACCTCTAGGTGAGGCCCTGACACCGCCCCTCAGGACCATCCAGGCTTGGAGTCTTGGACCGTCCACCTGGCTGCTCTCCTTGTGATGAGAACCTGTGTCCACACTCTATTTTCTCTTCTACCTTTTCATGTCAAAGGTTAGCTTTCTTAGGGGACCCTCCTCTTCCTTCACCTACTCCAAAGTCTATGCGCTATTTTAAGAAATATTTGAGGAAGCGTAACTCTGATATAACCTGTATTTCTCAAGGGCTTGTAATCCTAACGGCACCACTGGACAAAATGACTGAAAAACATAGGAACTGAGACAAAGCACGGCAAAACGGTAGAAATTCTAGTTTCCATTTTAAGTACGCTCTGCTTACAAGGTCTTTTGGCTGGCTGCTCTCTCGTGAAAATTTGATAAATGCCATGAATACCATAACACTAATACATTGCCAATCACCCCCTTTGATAAACACAGTGAAAATTTTAACCATGGGCCTAACGTGTGGAAAAAATTAAGGATGTTCTCTTTTATTAATGCACAAGTGAAAACTGAACATCTACTGAAGGGCAATCAGTACTTAAACCAGAAAACTTTATACAGGGACTCGAATACCCACTCAGCTGCAGTGAAGCTAAGCTGCGGGTCGGGAACGAAGCAGCAGTTCCAGAGTAAACAGGGCTGGGACTGGGCGGCGGGGAGCGGGCTGCGGCTCTGGGAGCCTCGTCACACGGTAGGAGCGCTGGCCCTTAAGCTTCCTTAGCCTTCTGTTCAGCATCCCGGTGGTTTCCGCGGGAGCAGCCCAGGTCCCGGCCAGGTCTGATACTAGCGGGGAGGAAGCCAGCACCCTCCCATGGTAGAGGGCCCTCCTCAGTGAACTTGAGGGCAGGGGGGAGCTCCCCAGGAGACAGATGCTCAGACTGTAATTCTAAGGCCTCAGTCTTCTGCTTAACAACCGTACCCCCTTCATATCTCCATTTACCCTTAATTACAAAGGCGTGAACTTTGAGTGGGTTTTCCCCAGGTGATGGTGTGATTCATGAGGAAGGGCCATTTGCCTACAAGTTTTCCCACCGAGAAACACTAACGCTGCCAAAAATCCTCCTGTGTTCAGTTCGGCCTCACACCCCTGTACTCCACTATCCCCTGCCCCCCCGGGTTTCTACTGGCCTGGCCCCATCTCCCTATGTTAAAGTGGCCAAGGGCAGACACTTCTCCAATGTCAGAACAGATATTTCCTAGAGGGTAGCTTTTTTTTTTAATCTTTAAAATTACTTTAGAGAATGTTTACCTCTAGTGGGGAAAATGCTTCAGGACAAACCAAAGCCCCGGGCTTGCTTGCACCACCAAGGGCCACTGCTCTTAGGACTGGGAACGGGCAAGAGGTATGAGGGTAAGGCTCAGCCAGGCGCCTGCTGACCCGCGGGCACACGGCTACCTGGTCTATTCATGAAGTCACAGTGGCCTAAGCCCGCGATGTCGATTCTCTTCATAAAAAGCACCATGCTGGTTAGGTTGGCTTCCTGCATTTCCGCTGGCTTAAGTGGCCGCATGTCTTCGGAGGCGAATTCTTCAGAGTACAGACAGAAAAGTTTTCCTAGAAGAAACCAAGGAAGATGGTTTTAATGCTTCTGTGTTGCCTCCGGACAGGAACTTAGCGTGAGCTGGGTTTGGGGTCCGCAGCGCTACCTGGAGAAGATGAACCGAGAATCTGCTTGCGTATCTCTGCTTGGCTCCGGCTGATGGGCTGCATGACGAGTGAGTTTGCTCTTATTCTAGGGTTATACACCTTTAAACGAAAGATAGCATCTTTAGCGTCAGCTCACTCGAGATTTAGCAGACTCGCTGGCCCTGAAGTGACTGCTGTTTGCACACTTTACTTCACGAAAGGCTCTGCTACTCATTTCTTCTGTACAATATTTATTATTGTTTCACTTGCCTTGAGACGGAAACTGCAAGAGCTTTGATAAATGGAGTTAAGGGTTGTCTGATTTCATTGTAGCTTCAATAAATATGGGAGCTCTGCATCATCTACTGAAATACAAATGCCACTTCTCAAAGCGCTATACCGCTGACTCGTGTGCCGCGTGGAGAAAAGGATGATCAACCGACAGTGCTGCATTTCCTCAAGGTTCTGTTCAAATTGACTGTGATCCCAGGGGTCTCATCTTTATCCCATATGCTGGGCTTTTCCCGTCCTGTCAGCTCACACAAAGAGTGCAGATGGCGCTAACAGTGATTTTTCTTAGGCGTAGTTTAAAGGTAAGTAATAACCCTGGGTTCTCTGAATGGTGGACTGATTCAATAAGATCAATCCAAACTGGTTCCAAGGGAACCTTCCTAATGGCTGGAATTGCTCTGTCACAGTAAACAAGGATATTTAAGAGACCCATAGTTTCCTGGAGGGGTAAAAGCTATATAACATCTAATAATGGTAAATGGATCAATACTTGGGTAGATTCTTTTCAGTTTAAATGCTATGATTTCTGAAGTCCCACTGTCTTTTTGAGATACCCTATTTCCATTTTTCCTAATTTTTTTTTTTTTTTTTTTTTTTTTTTTGCGGTACGCGGGCCTCTCACTGCTGTGGCCTCTCCCGTTGCGGAGCACAGGCTCCGGACGCGCAGGCTCAGAGGCCATGGCTCACGGGCCCAGCCGCTCCGCGGCATGTGGGATCTTCCCGGACCGGGGCACGAACCCGTGTCCCCTGCATCGACAGGCGGACTCTCAACCACTGCGCCACCAGGGAAGCCCCTAATTTTTAATTTAAGGATAGTGATTAAAAATAAACAGAATTTTTAAAAAATTTAGGATGGAATTTTATGTCAACTATAAAGCCAAAATTTGCAAAAATTAAACTCAGTGTACTTGAAACTAATTTCTAGTAAATTACCTGGGGGGAGATGCTAATTACTTTGATAAAGGGGCTACCAAAAATACCCAAGGGATGTATAGAAAAAAAGATCCGTTTAGGAGTCAAGTAATTTGCTTTAGTAGTTGTCTTTCCTTAAAACTTTTTCCTCTGGCGCCTCAACCAATTTAATTTGTTTCCAGACTATCAACCTGATAATGACAGGCAGTTACACGTGCTCAAGACCTCTGTTACTGGATGCAATAGTTCTTCTTTGCACACATGGCCAAATACAGAGAAATCCCCAGATCATATAGTTCATCCTTACTTTCTGGTCGGTAAAATGGTAGGAGCCCAAGACAATTAGCAGCAGTCTACTTAACCGCCTCAACAATAATTACCTTTCTTCTCTCCACCCCGACATCAATAACAAATTTGACTGTGTTGCTCCAGATCAAAGATTCTCCAGAGCTAGCCGTTAACACCACTCGTCTCTGATAAACTTGGCATCTTTTTTCTGTTTCATCATTTGGCTTGAACAATGCACATTTCTCTTTTGGATACAAAGGAACAACTACCAGCTCTCCAAGATCTGGGTTTAAGTTAGATCCTTCTTGACAGATAATTTCATAGGCTTTTTCAATATCCTAAAGTAAAAGAATAACATCATCCATGAGAATAAAGTACATTACAAACAACTTTCTCCAAATTATATAAAACTATAGGCAAAAGCTGCATAACGTATACAGGGAAAGAAATACTTGTGTTTTCTATAGGTATCGTTAAATACGAAAAGGAGGTATAACTGCGTAAGAACATGTCTTTGGGGAAGTTAAATATAATTTATAAATAATTTCAGTGCTTTTAGTCCAAAATGGCTCTCCTCTTGTGAAATGTACTGTCTTTGCCTTTATGCATTCATCCTGCTATTTTTCTAGCTTGGTGCAACTTCTCATATCCATTAACAATGACAGGTGAATAAAAGTTACTCTCACATCAGTGATGATGCATCACTGTGCTTTAATGGTGGCAGAACTAAGAATTCTAAAACAATTTCTAGATTTCCAATAGAAGCATATATGCATACACATTCCACAGTCAGGGTCTCTAACCTGGGTCATCTTGAAAACTATTATTACCCATTAGCACTTAAAGCAGAAATGCAATGAAATAGGCAGGAAATATTCACTGCTATTTATATATTTGCAAGATTCAGGAATTTAGAAATACTCTTTAAAAATGCTTCATTGTCAAATATACTGAATAAAAGAGTAAATTATGTGCCCTAAAACCACAAACAAGTAAGTATATTGGTGTAAAATGCTCAAAAAGCAAGACATTTTACACAGTACTTTTTAATTAATTCTTGGCTGCGTTGGGTCTCCGTTGCTGCGCGCGGGCTTTCTCTAGTTGCGGCGAGCGGGGGTTACTCTTCATTGCGATGTGTGGGTTTCTCACTGCGGTGGCCTCTCTTGTTGGTGTGGAACACGGGCTCTAGGCACGCGGGCTTCACTAGTTGTGGCACGTGGGCTCAGTAGTTGTGGCTCGCGGGCTCTAGAGCGCAGGCTCAGTAGTTGTGGCGCACGGGCTTAGTTGCTCCGCGGCATGTGGGATCTTCCCGGGCCAGGGCTCGAACCTGCGTCCCTTGCATTGGCAGGCGGATTCTTAACCACTGCGCCACCAGGGAAGCCCTGCAGTACTTTTCTATTTCTCAAATCACAACCAGATTTTTAGGACCTCATATAAAAAAGATGTCACTTAATGTAATTCTTACTCCTTTAAAATTTGTTTCCAAAATTTCTATTTTTTTAAGGGCCTAACTAGCTACCAGATGGAAGAAGCCCCATTTCATTTCATTACATACATTAGATTTCACTAAAAATCTGAGTAAAAAAGATGCCTTCCCATGACTGTTAAGTCTGAGTCCACTGTCCAGCGCTCCAGCTCACCTCTCCTTCCTTCCCCGCCACCTGTATAGTGGGATTGAACTAACTCAAGGGCTTTGTAGGTGGACAGATCTGCCTAGAAAAATAGTGAGACCTCGGGTGAGCTATTTGAAGGTTATTCCTGAGCTGCTGAGAGGCCCCCAGGAAGCAGGGCAGAGGCTGCCCCCTGGGGTCCACACAGCAGTTATCCCGGTACCTTCTCCTGTTCACACTCCCCTTTTCTGCAGGGTTGGTTTACTTGGGGCAGATTTTTTTTTCAACCAACCAAGCGAAGAGCAGGATTATTGACCGTAATGAATGAAAACTTGTCAGCTGGAATAATCAGAACAAAGCTATTTCTTCCAATTTTTATAATTCTAATCATGTCATCATTTTAAGTGAGGAAAGCTTAGAAATTTCTACGGAGGAGAACAAGTCCTCGAGCTGCGTCTCCCTGCACAGGACATTCACACATTCCTCCTGGGTGGCAGGTGGTAACCTCTGCACGTTGGTACTTCACCCTCCACAGCTACCCTGGAGCTGAAAGAGGAGATTCGATTCCAGCCACCCACTCACAAATTTCCAATCCAAATAACCTTCAAACTGCACTGAAATATTGTACCTAGTTTAGATTCCTCAAGCTGACAGAAAACTTTGAGGCCATAATCTTCAGAATTAAAAAAAAGTACTTAGAATATTCATTCGGTGCTTCAAACTGTTTACTCATTTCCTTCCTATTCAATGTGTTCAGAGCATTTACGTATGTGGGGCTTTCCTACAATACCTGCAAAACTCAGGAAAACACAGCAACCTGCACTGAAGGAAGATATCTGCCCCCAAATGAAAGGCCCGCAACTAGATGGAACATTTCACAGGAAAACCTTCAACCTAAGAGCATCTTCCTTGTGACAGCTTCAAGCTGCTCGATAATCTGGCTAGATAGTGTCATTAACCTTAATTTGTTTTCTATTTAATCTATTTCACTTTTTTTTTCAGGTTACAAGATGGTGAAGTGATAAGGAACAACACACTGTAAACATGCAGGGCTCCAAGCCTCAATTAAGCACAAGAGCCAGGGGAGCGCGCAGTTGCGGGTATTAATTCACAGCAGGTGAGGGGCTAAGTGAGCAGTGCGAGAAAATGTGAGGCACCTAATGTTCACCAAGCCAAACATGAGAGTGTTTCTGCAACTTTAAACGGATTTCCTAAGAGAAAAAGCGACCGTTAGTACTCTTCGGTCAGACTGCTTGGGTTTGTTTTCCTATGACATTCAGTTGCTATGGCAGATTTTAAAGTTTTATATAGAAATCAAGAAAGCTTCAAACAGCATGGGGAAAAATGATCAACAGCTGTTAACATGGATTTCGGAGCAAGACAAAACTTTCCAAAAGACAAATTCCAAGACCATAGGAGAGTGTTAACCCTGACATAAGTAGTAAAAAAGAAAAAAGTCCATCAGCATATACTGAACTATGTTCCGCTTTTTAGGTGGCAGATGGGGAAAAGAAACCCAGATAACACCTGTGGAATTTGGGGCTGAACTGTGAGGAAAAACACTGGTTCCCAGAGAAGGTATGCTCCAGCCCGCAGAACTGCTGCCCCACCCGCTGGGCAGCCTGCTGGGAGCCTCTGGACAAGGAGAACCACCCCCCCACAGAGATTCCAGTGCTGGACCCGGGCCACAGCAGCAGCCCCTGCCAAAATGACGAGTCCTCATTCTCAGAGGCTCAGAATTGCAAAATCCGCCCAGAGCTTTCACTACACCATCACGTTCATGACTTTCAGGACTGATGGTTTCTTAATAGGAAATGGCTTTCTGGTCTGACTTCAAGGAAGATTATATAATTTTCTAAGCCCTGTGGATTTTACAGTTTCTACCACTATCCTAGGTAAAAATGCATCTTCTGAAGTCTGACAATTCAGAAGTCACTATGCCATTAATTATAGCTTATATGAAACTTGTAAGAATCAAATACTTTAAGAATCAAATATTACCCCCAATTCTGTTATGAGCTTTATTTTTCAAAAATCCATTTTGGCATTTTTGGTTACTCTGACTAAAGATGACTACTCATTCTATCAGTCTTCATTATACTGTCCCCCACCCGATCCACCCCGAAATGTATGCCTTCTTTTCACCGGGCAATTCTAACTTTCAAATGTTTCAGACTCTTCTAATTCTGCCATTCCTCCCTCCCTTAGGCTTCAGCCAGTTATGCTGAGAACCTCTAACTGTTTTCATAAATCCTTCTTCTGTCTCCTTAATCATTTTGTTACTTCCCTCAGGACTTTCTTGAGTATCTTGAATCATGCGGGATTAGGGAATGATCATAGAATAAATCATTGTAATCCGTAGAAGATTTACTACTCAAGAAACTGTGTATAATCTACACAGGAAACATGGAAAATATGCTGTAGTTATCATATATTTGAGATTCTAAATTACTTTCTTTATGGAAACAGATAAAACCTAAGTTGTGAGAAAACTGTCTAAAGTTCCCCAAACTAAAGGATCAGTCATCCTTTATGCTTTGAGTATAAAGCAGAATAAATACTCCTGAAGGTACTTGTGAAGGCGTGTGAATACTTAAGACAAGGCTCTGGTAGAGAGCTGAGGTCCTTGTCTTTGTTCAGCTGGTGGCTCAGCCAATATCATAGTTTCCTTTTGGTTTCTGTTTAATCACTGGAATTACTACATATCTGGGTCATGGTCTAAAAGCCAGTGCTTTTTTTACTCTCTGAGTGAGATGACGGGTAGGGGAAAAAGGCCAGGAAATCAGTCTCTAAGAAGAAAGGTCTAACTCTTGAGATTCTGGAGGCTTTTAGATTTGGCCCGCAGAGCAGTGGAGAGAGAAGCAGGGCCACAGTAACTGCATTAAAAAAAAAAAAATGCAACCCCAAATGACACCTTGACTCTATAAAAGCAAAAAGAGATGCTCAGCTGTACATTTCCCATTGTTCTTTTGAAAGACGTTGTCAGATATCGAAGTGAACATTTTTCTCATTCATCTTTTTAAGAAAAGTGTAGGGAGATAGCCTTCTGACTGTGCTATAAATTATATTTTCCTGCCTAACACTCCACTGACTGCTGTAGGAACATTGTGGGTACTTTTTTGTTCCCTGACTCTATGCGGAGGACTTAGCTTATGTCCCGCATCTCCAGCACATGCGCCTGCCATGAGGGAGGTGGCCGTGAGTGTGAGATGAGTGTGTCTTCTCTACTGAGACAGTTCACAGCAAGCCTTTGGGGCAGCCCAGGATCTCGCCTGATCCCATGGAAGGAGGTCAGCTCTGGAGATCACCCCCAGAAATTCCTCAGAGTCCCCACCTCCCCACCCCCATTCTGTGTTTCAGAACAGCTCCTGGGTTGGTTGGTTGGTTGTTATTCTTAACCACTGCGCCACCAGGGAAGCCCTGCAGTACTTTTCTATTTCTCAAATCACAACCAGATTTTTAGGACCTCATATAAAAAAGATGTCACTTAATGTAATTCTTACTCCTTTAAAATTTGTTTCCAAAATTTCTATTTTTTTAAGGGCCTAACTAGCTACCAGATGGAAGAAGCCCCATTTCATTTCATTACATACATTAGATTTCACTAAAAATCTGAGTAAAAAAGATGCCTTCCCATGACTGTTAAGTCTGAGTCCACTGTCCAGCGCTCCAGCTCACCTCTCCTTCCTTCCCCGCCACCTGTATAGTGGGATTGAACTAACTCAAGGGCTTTGTAGGTGGACAGATCTGCCTAGAAAAATAGTGAGACCTCGGGTGAGCTATTTGAAGGTTATTCCTGAGCTGCTGAGAGGCCCCCAGGAAGCAGGGCAGAGGCTGCCCCCTGGGGTCCACACAGCAGTTATCCCGGTACCTTCTCCTGTTCACACTCCCCTTTTCTGCAGGGTTGGTTTACTTGGGGCAGATTTTTTTTTCAACCAACCAAGCGAAGAGCAGGATTATTGACCGTAATGAATGAAAACTTGTCAGCTGGAATAATCAGAACAAAGCTATTTCTTCCAATTTTTATAATTCTAATCATGTCATCATTTTAAGTGAGGAAAGCTTAGAAATTTCTACGGAGGAGAACAAGTCCTCGAGCTGCGTCTCCCTGCACAGGACATTCACACATTCCTCCTGGGTGGCAGGTGGTAACCTCTGCACGTTGGTACTTCACCCTCCACAGCTACCCTGGAGCTGAAAGAGGAGATTCGATTCCAGCCACCCACTCACAAATTTCCAATCCAAATAACCTTCAAACTGCACTGAAATATTGTACCTAGTTTAGATTCCTCAAGCTGACAGAAAACTTTGAGGCCATAATCTTCAGAATTAAAAAAAAGTACTTAGAATATTCATTCGGTGCTTCAAACTGTTTACTCATTTCCTTCCTATTCAATGTGTTCAGAGCATTTACGTATGTGGGGCTTTCCTACAATACCTGCAAAACTCAGGAAAACACAGCAACCTGCACTGAAGGAAGATATCTGCCCCCAAATGAAAGGCCCGCAACTAGATGGAACATTTCACAGGAAAACCTTCAACCTAAGAGCATCTTCCTTGTGACAGCTTCAAGCTGCTCGATAATCTGGCTAGATAGTGTCATTAACCTTAATTTGTTTTCTATTTAATCTATTTCACTTTTTTTTTCAGGTTACAAGATGGTGAAGTGATAAGGAACAACACACTGTAAACATGCAGGGCTCCAAGCCTCAATTAAGCACAAGAGCCAGGGGAGCGCGCAGTTGCGGGTATTAATTCACAGCAGGTGAGGGGCTAAGTGAGCAGTGCGAGAAAATGTGAGGCACCTAATGTTCACCAAGCCAAACATGAGAGTGTTTCTGCAACTTTAAACGGATTTCCTAAGAGAAAAAGCGACCGTTAGTACTCTTCGGTCAGACTGCTTGGGTTTGTTTTCCTATGACATTCAGTTGCTATGGCAGATTTTAAAGTTTTATATAGAAATCAAGAAAGCTTCAAACAGCATGGGGAAAAATGATCAACAGCTGTTAACATGGATTTCGGAGCAAGACAAAACTTTCCAAAAGACAAATTCCAAGACCATAGGAGAGTGTTAACCCTGACATAAGTAGTAAAAAAGAAAAAAGTCCATCAGCATATACTGAACTATGTTCCGCTTTTTAGGTGGCAGATGGGGAAAAGAAACCCAGATAACACCTGTGGAATTTGGGGCTGAACTGTGAGGAAAAACACTGGTTCCCAGAGAAGGTATGCTCCAGCCCGCAGAACTGCTGCCCCACCCGCTGGGCAGCCTGCTGGGAGCCTCTGGACAAGGAGAACCACCCCCCCACAGAGATTCCAGTGCTGGACCCGGGCCACAGCAGCAGCCCCTGCCAAAATGACGAGTCCTCATTCTCAGAGGCTCAGAATTGCAAAATCCGCCCAGAGCTTTCACTACACCATCACGTTCATGACTTTCAGGACTGATGGTTTCTTAATAGGAAATGGCTTTCTGGTCTGACTTCAAGGAAGATTATATAATTTTCTAAGCCCTGTGGATTTTACAGTTTCTACCACTATCCTAGGTAAAAATGCATCTTCTGAAGTCTGACAATTCAGAAGTCACTATGCCATTAATTATAGCTTATATGAAACTTGTAAGAATCAAATACTTTAAGAATCAAATATTACCCCCAATTCTGTTATGAGCTTTATTTTTCAAAAATCCATTTTGGCATTTTTGGTTACTCTGACTAAAGATGACTACTCATTCTATCAGTCTTCATTATACTGTCCCCCACCCGATCCACCCCGAAATGTATGCCTTCTTTTCACCGGGCAATTCTAACTTTCAAATGTTTCAGACTCTTCTAATTCTGCCATTCCTCCCTCCCTTAGGCTTCAGCCAGTTATGCTGAGAACCTCTAACTGTTTTCATAAATCCTTCTTCTGTCTCCTTAATCATTTTGTTACTTCCCTCAGGACTTTCTTGAGTATCTTGAATCATGCGGGATTAGGGAATGATCATAGAATAAATCATTGTAATCCGTAGAAGATTTACTACTCAAGAAACTGTGTATAATCTACACAGGAAACATGGAAAATATGCTGTAGTTATCATATATTTGAGATTCTAAATTACTTTCTTTATGGAAACAGATAAAACCTAAGTTGTGAGAAAACTGTCTAAAGTTCCCCAAACTAAAGGATCAGTCATCCTTTATGCTTTGAGTATAAAGCAGAATAAATACTCCTGAAGGTACTTGTGAAGGCGTGTGAATACTTAAGACAAGGCTCTGGTAGAGAGCTGAGGTCCTTGTCTTTGTTCAGCTGGTGGCTCAGCCAATATCATACAGTTTCCTTTTGGTTTCTGTTTAATCACTGGAATTACTACATATCTGGGTCATGGTCTAAAAGCCAGTGCTTTTTTTACTCTCTGAGTGAGATGACGGGTAGGGGAAAAAGGCCAGGAAATCAGTCTCTAAGAAGAAAGGTCTAACTCTTGAGATTCTGGAGGCTTTTAGATTTGGCCCGCAGAGCAGTGGAGAGAGAAGCAGGGCCACAGTAACTGCATTAAAAAAAAAAAAATGCAACCCCAAATGACACCTTGACTCTATAAAAGCAAAAAGAGATGCTCAGCTGTACATTTCCCATTGTTCTTTTGAAAGACGTTGTCAGATATCGAAGTGAACATTTTTCTCATTCATCTTTTTAAGAAAAGTGTAGGGAGATAGCCTTCTGACTGTGCTATAAATTATATTTTCCTGCCTAACACTCCACTGACTGCTGTAGGAACATTGTGGGTACTTTTTTGTTCCCTGACTCTATGCGGAGGACTTAGCTTATGTCCCGCATCTCCAGCACATGCGCCTGCCATGAGGGAGGTGGCCGTGAGTGTGAGATGAGTGTGTCTTCTCTACTGAGACAGTTCACAGCAAGCCTTTGGGGCAGCCCAGGATCTCGCCTGATCCCATGGAAGGAGGTCAGCTCTGGAGATCACCCCCAGAAATTCCTCAGAGTCCCCACCTCCCCACCCCCATTCTGTGTTTCAGAACAGCTCCTGGGTTGGTTGGTTGGTTGTTTATGTATGTATGTATGTATGTATGTATGTATGTATGTATGTATGTATGTATATATTTATGCTGTGGCTTGTGGGATGTCAGTTCCCCAACCAGGGATCGAACCCATGCCCCGTGCTATGGAAGCACAGAGCCCTCACCACTGGAACTCCAGGGAAGTCCCCAGTTCCTGCCTTTAGAAGCACTTCCTTGTTTGTCTTTCAGCGTAGGTTTTATTTACTCTATATCAAGGATTCTTCTAAAGTATGAAAAAAGAGGTGTGATGGAACCAAATAGCAGTTCCCTCAGTTAATTAGTAAACTGAAACCTGTATGTTAGTTATTAAAAGGTTCCCAACAAGGTTAAAAGGTTCCCAATAAGTAAACTTATTACTCTCTTAGGTTAGAATGAATATTACTTACTTACTTGTTCACAGGCCAGAAAGACTACAATGTCACCCTTCTCACCGGAGTGGTGAATTTCAAAGATAAGGCGTAAAATAGACTCAAAAGACTCCTTCTGAGCCCCACTAAGGTACACAACCTCCACTGGGTACTTATTTTTCACTTCTATGAGAGGCACGTTTCCATAATAAGAACTGAGTTTGCTGATCAGGTGAGGTGAGGAGTTAA